TCAAACTTCTATAATTAGTAAATGTTACAAATATCTTTCCAATTTGTTTCTTAAATGGACGGTCATTTTCATTCTTGTGTATCTCGTCCGTATTGTGGAGAACTGAAACAGAATGGCTTACTGTGGAAGCAATTTGTTCTTTGTCCAGACATATTTTATAGATCTGATAGACCTATTATTATTTAATAAACAATGCCATTTTTATAACTCACACAGCCATATAATAATTAAATAAATGGTTTCTTCTTTGTTTTCAATATTTTGCTAATCACTATTCTATTTGGTGCATTTTTCAATGTCTTAGATTTAGAGGTCATTCTGTAAACCAGAATTCTTCCTCCCACTGCAAGATTATCTGAGCAGAATGTTAAGTGCTTATGATGAGCTGTAACATAACCAAGAATTTGACTTGCTGGTGCTGAGCAGGCAGTGTGGTAGTGGGGGATGAATATGCCCAGAATTTGGTGGAGTTTAAAAGACTGATGTCTAAGTACAAATAAATATTGCTCTTTAGAGAGTGTCATTTTCTTAGCATTACCTATCATTTATAAATACTGCAATAACTTTTTAAGAATTATTTATGGTATTAGACGAAATTGTACGTTGGCACTTTGTATTGCTTTTACGTGTCTGATAATCATTTCTGCTCCTTTAAGAGAGAGAGACTGCATTGTATTATTATGGTTTTCACTGCAGAATACAAGAACATGAATCTGTTAGAAAAAATCAGGGAAAAGCTATCAGGAAATAGAGGGGGAATATGATCTATGAAGGATTCTGCTGTTAGTATTTCACTTTTTAGGGATTTTTTTAGTATTTTAGTATTTTTAGTATTTTAGTTTTTTTTACTTTCATAAATATATATGATATTTTATAGTCATCAAGACTAAAATCAATTTATCAACACCTTTTTTGAAAGGATCCAACATAAAAGCCTAAATTTTAAGAGCAGCTATGAACAAAATACTTTTTGGTGTATATCTTTATGCTTCATCATTATCATTTACCTAAATAGAACATTTTATACCAGTAAATACAAACAATATTTTCTGAGGTTTTTTAATTTATAGATTATTATTATCTAATCTAAATTTCTTATTATTTGATTATTTAAACTTTTACCTTTATTCTAAAACTATGATTAAAACTCTTGAGAGATGTTATATATTTATTAAGAGATACTTGAACATTTGGTTAGATTATCTTTGATACTTATCAAAATATAAATTTTTGTCTCTTTAAGAATTGTATCATCTTAATTTCCTTTTAATTCTTAGGTTATATTAATAAAACTAATGGCCATCATCCATTGAATGTTTACCATGTGCCAGGCATTGTTCTAAATACTTTTATCTGAATTTACTCCTTTAGTTCTCACAAGAACACTGTGAGTTAGGTCCTATTTTTTTTTATTTATTTCAGAATATTATGGGGGTACAAACATTTTGATTACCTGTTTTGCTTTTGTGCAGTTTGAGTCAAAGTTATAAGTGTGTGCATCACCAAGGTAGAGTGCATTGTACCTGTTAGGTATAAACTTACCCGTTCCCTCCTCACCTCTCCCACTGACTTGGTTTCCATTGAGTTTTACTACCATATGTGCACATAGGTATTGATTGATTAGTTTCAACTTAATAGTGAGTCCATGTGGTATTTGTTTTTCCATTCTTGCAATACTCTGCTTAGAAGAATGGTCTCTAGTTCGATCCAGGTTGTTACAAAAGGTATTAGTTCACCTTTTTTATGGCTGTGCAGTACTCCGCAGTATACATATACCACATATTTTTATCCCTATTTTACAAATGAGAACATTAAAGCAGGACAGAGAGGTTAAATAACGAGGCATGGTCACACAACTAGGAAGTGGCAGAAGCAAAATTCAAATCCAGTGAGCATTCCTCCACAGCCCCTGCTCTTGTTACTACTTCGTCTTAGCTCTCTGGACAGAAGTTTTGTCATTTTATGTCAATCAACAAATATTTAGGAAATATTTACTGCCTGTTTGCTAGTAAGATATGGAATATCAAGGAATTTTTATATTGTGTTAAGGGGTTGAGAATTGAATGAAACCTTACTCAAATAGGCTCACAAAAAAAGCCTATATAAATTGTAAGTCAGAAGGCCTATATTAGAAACATAAATTCCTATAGGAACATTGAAGAAGGAAAGATTTCTCTGATTGGGAGGAATTCAGTTGGTTTCATAAAGGAAGCAATGTTTTCATTGGGACTTATGCTTTCAGGGTAGGTGTGAGTGAGGCTAAGTTAGGCAAGAATGGGGAAGACCTTGAATGCCACACTAGGGAGTTTAGGCATTTGGCCATCAGCAGCTATGAGCCTTCAAGATTTTCAAGCAAGTAAGTAACATTGCATTTTAGGTACAAAATGGTAGCAGCATGAAAAATGAATTAAAAATGGTTTTGGAGGTTTGGGGAAATACAGAATGTCAGTAAGATGAGGTTTCATCAAGATGGCAGATGACCATGTGTGCCGGTCATCTCTTTGCATGTCAAATCCTAACAAGAAATTTACAGCAGATATGTTTTACTTTGTGTTGTTATATTTTAAAGAGTAAATCTCTAGCAATGCTGGAAAACAAGAAAGAGTACGTACCATTAACAGACCATAAACTTTGAAAGACACAAAGCAGATAGATAGCAGATCGGATGGGACTGTTGAGGAAAATCACACTCTAAAACATGCAGGACAGGAGGATCGCTTGAGCTGAGGAGTTCGAGGCAACAATAAGCTAGGGTCACGCCACTGCGCTCCAGCCTGGGGGACAGAGTGAGACCACATCTCTAAACAAAAACAAAAACAAAAAAATGTAAGAGAGGACTGCTTCAGAAGGAGGAGGGGCTCTGGCTGGGCTGCACATCAGACATACAGATGCAAGGCTGAGGAGGGGTCTGGGGCCGTGAGCAGGGTAATTATTTGGGAGGCTGTATGAAGAACAGCAGAGTAAATCAGCCCCTTCTCCTTTGTCTGCTTATTTTGAGCAGAAAGCAGTTGATACTTTTAGCCACAGCCTAAGACAGTGAATATGAGGCTTTAGCTAGAGACAAAGTGATGGGAAGGTAGCTAATGACACCCAGGAAAAATGCAGAGCACCCCCTTCTGAAAGAAATGTAACCAGCATGTAGCAGCATGTCCCTGGTATTTATGAAAAGCAAATGGAGAATTCAAAAAAGAAAAATAAAGAGCCAGAAATTACCAACCATTTGAAGTTTACCAATGCCATAAAGAAGACACCGAACTTGACAGACAGAGCCAAAACCTAAAGAAAACAAATCACTAGAGCTAACAAAATAAAAGACTTTAAAATGAGAGAGACAATTTCCTCAGAAAGACCTAAGAGAACACTAGATCCATTAAAAAAAAGTGTACATAATTCTTGAGATTTTAAAAATACTCAGTAAATTAATAGAATGATACAGTGGACCTAGTTTAAAAGCAAATTAGTGAGGGGCAGATCAAATGGAAGAATTCTCCAAGAATAACACAAAAAGAGAATTACAAGGAAAGTAGAAAAGAGAAAGTTAGAACCAGAAATCTCAACATCTTGCTGATAGAAATAGTTGAAGGCAAGAAGAGATAAAATGGAGAATAGAAAATAATAAAAGAAATAGTAGAAGCTGACTGAAGCTGTGTATCTTCAGGTTGAATTGGCCCGTTGAGTGTGGAGCGGAATGACTGATAAATGACCAGTGCCTAGTTGAAGAAATAATGCAGAACCTTCCAGCAAGAAAAATAAAAATTAGTTACCAAAAAGGAATGGTAATCAGATTTCAATAGTCTGAAGCACCATATTTGTCATATATGATACATAACATATATGTGTGTACGTGTATATGTAGTGCTGCTGTGGAGGGCCACCCAGGTGCCCCTCTGCTCTTTAGAACTGACAGGTTTATTTTCCAGCTGCTGGGAGTGTTGGCAGCTAATGGTAATCTGGTAACTCCCTCTCCAGGAATTGCCCTCTGCTAAAGAAAGTCACCTTGCCAAGGCCGTGTCCCCTTCCCTGGAGCAGCCCATATCCAGGAATCTGTAGGATTGTCTGAGGCCACTGTTACTGTGTTACAGGTCAACTTCTCCTGCCACATCCTGTTTTCCTTATAAGTATAGATCCTGGGGCCACACCCCAGTAAACTTCTTGCAGACAAATCTCCCTCTGAGTTGGTTTTCCAGGGAATGCAACCTGTGACAATATTCTTTTCAAATACCCATGGGACACTCAATACAATTGACTATGTATTAGGACACAAAGTTCCTTCAAAGAAAGATCAAAGATACCACATTCTCTGGCCACAGAATTAGATACTAACAATAACCTAACCAATCACCAACCTCCCCCAAATTTATATTCATACACGTGTGAATCACTGTAGATTTGAAGTGCCGTGCATGTAGCAGGCACTTACATGAAAGTAATATTTTAATGAACTTGGTGCAAGTAAAATAAAATTTGAGAGACAATAGGTTCTTATAAACAGTTTACTCAAATGGAGTCATTTCAAGTGTTCATCATGAAATTCAGGGTTATTGGTGACCATTTTCCCCCTAAAGATAAGCTAGTACTAAGGTTATACAACTATAACATTTTAAAAATATTTTGAAATAAGTACATCAAACTGGTTCATTTTAAATCAAGTTGTTAGGATCTCTACTGTTTTTATAAAACACAGTCTTTCACAGTAATGAACTGGGTTCATATTTTGTGTGCTTCCCATGATAGAAAGAAATGTAATTATTGGTTTCCCTCTGACATAGTTTACAGTGGACTTTATATTGGCCACATAAGACCACAGTAAAAGCCTTATGAGTGAACTGAAAATTTTCAATGTTCAAATTCTAAACATTAATGTTGTTTCCAGGAAAAATCAATACCCTCAATATATAACATGTATTTCATAAATAAAATAATTCAAGTGTTTTACATAGCTGGTGTTTTTCTTATTAACATCATATGACTAACTTTATATGTGAATGTGTATTTAATAGGAAATTGCCCGGCATTTACGCCCTGGAACCCTCAGAGCAATCTTTGGTAAAACCAAGATCCAGAATGCCGTTCACTGTACTGATCTGCCAGAGGACGGCCTATTAGAGGTAAGATAAAGAAGAGTAAACGTCCTATTTATATTTCAAGCTCATAAATAATCTCAGTTCTGATGTGTAAGAACACTTTTCATATCTTTGGATTACACTGTTACTTGGCCATCAGATGACTTCAGACTGCGTCTTTAAAAGTATAGAATGCTGTATATAACTGGGTAGTCTTCAAAGAATTAAGGTATTTTATCTGATTGGCACATATTATGGTAAAAAGTTAAAAAACTACAATATTGATTAAATTATGTGATGTTTGTTATTAAATCAGTTGACAATACCATTACCATAAGTTGCTAGTCATGAAAATATGCCAGTGAAGTTAAGAAGTCCAACACACAGTGTGAAGCATTAAAAGTAATAGCTACCATTTATTCGGAATTTTTATGAACCAGGTTCTACCATGAAAAATGCTTTGTGTAAATTATTTCTTTTAATTGTCATAGCAACTCTAAAAGGCTGGTATTATTATGTCTGTTATTTCAAGAACATGAAATTGAGAGGCAGAGAGGTTAAATAACATCCCCAAATCAAACAACCAAAGCCATATTTTGACCTCTCATGCATTAACATAAAATAAGAAACAATGAAAGAATTCTAAGAAAATGTAAGTGAAAATCGGTCTACTTTGGGTTTAAGAAAGTCATTTCTAGGCCAAAATCAAAGAAAGAAAAGATTGACATTTTTAGCTTTTTATAGTTTAAAAAATTTTGTCAAAATAAACTAAACAAAATTAAAAAACAAATGCTAAATTTAAATGTTATAAATGACAGAAAAATGGTTGATACTCTTAATATTTACTTGAGTTTTATTTATGTTTTATGTAATCAAATCTATTAGTCTTTTTTTAAAAATTTGTATCTCTAAAGTCTTATATAGAAAAGTCTTCCCCAAACATTTTGTTTTCATTTTCTCACATTGAAACGTTCAGTCCCGATGGAACTCATTTGACATACGGTATGAGGTATGAATCTAGCCAGCCATCACCACATTGTTTATTAAATCTCTCCATCCTTTCATTGTTCTTTCTCATGTATTGAATGCTTCTATATACCTATGCCTATTTCTGAACTTTCAATTTTATTCCATTGGTCTGTGCCAACAAAACACTATTTTTATTATTATAGTTTATTTATACTTTACAAAAGCTTTCTTGGTTAGTCTCTTAAATTTATTCCTCCGAATGAATTTCACATGAATTTACCAAGTTCTTTACTTCACCTCCAGAAAATAAAAATGGGACCTTGACTGACATTGCAATATGTTTATAAATTACATGGGGATGATATATCTCTAATTGCGAATCTCTCCAACTTCCTATGTGGTATGCCTTTCCTTTTATGCAAGCAGGAGGGTCATTTTTTTTCAAATGGTTCTTGGACATAGTCTACTAAATTTATTCCATCAGTGCAGCGGTCCCCAACCTTTTTGGCTCTAGGGACTGATTTCATGAAAGACAATTTTTCCACGGACCAAGAACTGGGGGGAGGTGGTGCGGAGGTCAGGCGGTGATATGAGGCCAATTTCCTAACAGGCCATGGACCGATACTGCGCCACAACCCCGGGGTTGGGGGTCTCAGCGAGGAGAATGACTTTATTAGCTCCATTAAGATTTTTTGTTATAATCCAAGATGTTAATCTACTAAATTGTTATCTAAAATGTACATCTTAGTATGAAATTTAGACATACTTGTGAAATATAAAAATGTAAGAAGCTTTATTTTTTAATTACCAAAAGGATTAAATGTTTAAGTTTTCACCTATTTTATAAATAGTCCCTTCAATTTCTGATAGACCTATATACTAGGTTTGAATAGAGACTTTTACTCAGTGAAATGGAAATAGAGACCTTTAAAATGATGTCTTTAAAAACTAGAACTTTTATTTTCCTGCCCCATAACTTGAGATCTGAAGGTAGGCAGGTAGGCATGTAGGGCTGGTACTGTAGCTCCATAATACCATCGAGAACCCAAGCTCCTCTTCCGTCTCCCTCTCATCCATCCTTAGCTTGTGCTTTTTGTCTTGTTGTCACAGAATGGTTGCCAGAACTCCTGTTATCACTTCTGTGTTCCAGGCAGAAAGAAAGGGAAGAGTGAGGGCAAAAGGTGAGAAATGCCAGCTGAGTCAACCCACCCACACCACCCACCACCACCTTTAAGCCTTTCCAGAGCCAGAAACCCCACCCAACAGCTTCTTCTTATGATTTTTTTGTTTTTGCTGGGATTTAGTCCCAGGGACACCCATTTTTAGGAGGAAAGTGGGTAAACGTAGTTATGTTAGGTGGGAACATTGCTCCCTCTAGAAAAAAATCAAGATTCTGTTAGAAGGAAGAAAGAGAAAATGAATTATGGTAGGTAAAAAGCTGTATGTTCCACAGGTGGTCAACAAGGGGTATTTAACTAGTAAACGGGTTTCCAATAGAATTGGCCCCAGCTGATCCGTAGGGTGGTGGTTCTCAAGCGTCCTGCCCGTCTCAGGAGCATGTATATCACCTGAGAACTTGGGGAAATGAAATTTTCAGGTCCTACGCTAGGCCAACTGACTCAGAAACTCTGGGGGTTGATTCCAGGAATCTGTTCTTTAACAAGTCCTCCAGGTGCTTCTAACATCCAGAAATTTTGAGAACTACTGTCCTGGCGCAATGTTTTCCAGTCAGTGGCATGCATCAAAATCATCTATGAAGTCTTTTAAAACTCATAAACCTGCAGCCCTATTATAGAAGATTCTGGTTAAGTAGGTTTGGGACGGGCTTCCTGAATCTGTACAGCAGTCCTCTCTTATCCGTGGTTTCCCTTCCCATGGTTTCAGTTACCTGTGGTCAACTGAGGTCTGAAAGTAGGAAAAATTCCAGAAATAAGCTATTCATAAGTTTCAAATCGTGTGCTGTTTTAAGTAGTGTGATGAATTATTACAGTATATTGTTATAATTGTATTTTATTTTTGTTAATCTCTTACTGTGCCTACTTTATAAATTAAACTTTATCAGAAGTATGTATGACTGGGAAAAAAACATAGTATATATAGGGTTCAGAATTAATCATGGTTTCGTACATCCATAGGGGTCTTAGAATGTATCCCCCACTGATAAAGGGAAGTCACTATATTTTTTTTTATGTTGCAGGTGATTCTGATGTAGCTAATAGTCAAACTAGCATTTAGAAACCACTGTCTTAGTGAGTGGAGGCATACCAGACTTTTCAGAAGTTGGCCTTGATTCTGCTTTTAAGGAAAACGAGTGCCAGCCAGCAGAGATTATTTTGCATTAATTCCTGCAGGAGGTACAAAGGCTGAGTGTTCATTTGCCAGACACTTTTAAAAGTATGCTCCAGAAAACATAGTTGTTTCTAACTGAGGTTAAAGTTTAGCTTTCTATATGAATCCATTGTTGGACCACAGCTCTGCTTAGTAGAGAACTATAATCCCAACATAAACTTTTCTGAGAAGATTGTACAATAATTAGCTCTTTTTCCAAGTTAATTGGATTATCCCTTCTTCTAGTCATGGGTGGTTTTTATCATGGTGATGTATTGCTATTTCGTCAGGATATTTTCTTTCACAGTGTTCAATGTGCATGATGCTAGAGTTATGTTTTATTTGTTTTCTAAATCCTACAAAAAAATTTTAAGAGGGATAAAGGTGAAAGTTTGAGATTCTGGGAATTTAGGTATCAAAACTTTATTCCTTGTATGTCTTACCATAAACATACCAAAACATTTTTCTGAAAACTTACTATAGGTTTCTGACATGAAACCATATTTTGTCAGTACTTGACCAAGCAGTTTTGTGAAAGCTCTGCAATAATGCATTTAATTTCTAAAATAAATGTTGAATTAAAAAAAAATCGAAGGTAAGATGCATTAGAATTTTAACAAAAAATGACACTTGACGAAGGCTGTGTGTTAGATGTTATAAACTCTTGAGGCATCGTAAATTTTAGCAGTGGCCCAAAGTAATGATTTGTGACTAATATCTGCTAATAGATTTATATTACTTTGGGCCTTACATAAAATTTGTCACATCTGTATTTTTAGAGAATTTTATACTTTTTTTTTAATCCTAAGTATTTCACCCTTGAGTTCATGAAACTTAAAGAGAAAATATCGCTTATATAATAACTAGGTAAAAATCTATCCAAAGGTAAGTAGAAGAGCTTTTTTGAGTGCTAAGTTTTTAAATTTAGTTTTCTGTTTGGAAAAGATGTTAAGAGTTCAACTATGCTTCTCATATAACAGTTAGAAATACCACTATTTCTGGGTTTTAGCGACATAGGCTGGAGAGGGCAAAAGTTGCCTGTGCTGAATGATTTTTCAGTTAATGATCTCATAAGCTTACCCCATGTTGGGTACATAGAAAGACACCATCCGCATAGCCAGCAGTATACTGCATAGACCTTGCACATCTTATTTTCATTTTGCATTTTTTAAAAATTTCTTAACTTGTTTATTTCTCTTTAGAAATAGCATTTTTACAATGTATGTGCTTTTTTAAAGATATTGTGAATGAGAAAAAAAAAAAAGATTATTTTGCTTTCAGGACTCAGAGTTGAAAACAGCAGCAGCCTCTTAAATTTGAAGGGATCTATAGCCTCTCTAAATGGATTCAGCTGCAGCCAAGTGTTATTACACTTCCAAGACAATTCCAGTCTCTGAATGGGGAGTCTTTGGTTTCCCTGCAAGGAGCCAGCCACGACCTGGTGGATTACCCGGATCTCTTGGGGGAAGTCTCAGTGTTGAGGCTGCCATGCGCCCTCCCAGGGAGTGACTAGAGGCCTGGGGCATGTGGTGTGTGCTACATTGCATAGATGCCGAGGCTAACGAGGACAGAGGCCCTGGGACTCTTACAGCTGAAAATTGTTCTCAGGTTTTTCAAATTTGCACTCACCGTTTAGCATTGGGCATGTGGCTGGCTCACAGGTGTGCTCCCAAGCTGGTTGTGTAAGTGTCTTGAGGGCCTGGGCCTATCATAGACTTTTGTGTCTGGCCCCTGTCTAGCATACTGCA